CCAACAATGTAATGTAATGTAATTGAACTGCAGACAGAGATAGAGACGTATTGTTGGGTCGAGCGCGTATGTCGTTCGTTGTGAATTATAGCGTTTGTTTAACTTATAGTGTGACCGTTGAAATTAAGTGAATTTCAAAGTTGTGTTGAGAAAGAATAAACTAGTTTTATTTAAGAAAGAACTTGTATCGGTAAAGTTTCTTCGGAAAGAATTTTTACGGAAAATTAACTAACGAACGGAGGCGTAACAATACTAAAAAAAGGTCGTCTAGCAAACACTCGGACATTCGCGGGGTTCCCCGAGAAATCCAGAAACTCCAGCGCGCATGCTCCCAGTGTCACGCAACTTCCGCTGTCGTAACAATATGATAACACATAATTTTTAATTTAATGACCAGTCTTATACCAGGTCAATAACCACGTCTCCAAACTCTGTCTGTTGTTTTTCTAACACGTAGATGAACAACCTAGGAAGATCATGCAATTCGGTCAACAACTTCAGTCTCAGTGTTTGGGGAATAACTGGTATCAATTCTTATTGTGTAGTAAAGAACCTTGTCATTCAAGATATAGTGTTTGGATTTACTTACAGTCTCTGTAACTATAGTAGAATCATCTGACAACTGTCCATTTTTAAGAATAAACATTCTTATACTCATATTCTTTAGTTTGTTCAGTATCCAAATGTTCTCGAGCGCTAACGTTGACAATGACAAAGAGTTTAGGTGATAGCTTACCGACATAAAAATCTGGAGTTTCTTCTGGGGATCAATAGGATGTCTAGATAGGGTATCAAGTAACTGGTTCTCTTTTCCTCTTCTGTGAAATATTTCAAATGTTAAGTCCTATAACTATAGTGACCAACGCATCAGTCTACCAGTTAACTTCTGACCTGTCTGTAACCATTTCAAGGCAGTATGATCAGTGATTACTATAAACTCTCCTCTATTCTCTTGGGTAGAATAGATACCACCTACTATAAAGAACAAAAAACAACAACAAAGCAACTAGAACAAATTAATTTTAACGACTTTCTGGGTCACATGTTATCACCATTACAGCACAGAAAGGAACTAATCGAAAAAGATTAAACATTTCTATATAATTAAACCAGTGCTGTTTGTAAGTGAATCGGAATGTTTTTGTTTTATTTTTCAACCTAATATATTATTATTATGGTTGTTTTTTTCACACTCTTTAGGCATAAAGGATAATTATAAATACTTTTATAGGTTTAAATATATATAATATATTTTGTTAAATCTACTGCCATCTACCAGTGCAAATGTGAATTTATTTGCGGGTAAGTTCAAAGTTAGTTGAAGCTAGCACAGACTCTTTAGATAATTCGACAAGTATATTTACAATTGTGGTTAACGTTAGGCTTAGTCGTGAAATTAAAGCCGTGTAGCTATTCAGCTCTCTTAAGTTCAAATGATTCGCATGTCGGTAACTGAAGATAACGAACATTTGAATTTAATAACAGACGCCTTCAAGATGAAGAAAAAGCCAAGATCTTCCCCCGTGGAAACCCAGGCCTAATTCCGCCGGTAAATAGGATATAATGTGACACTGACGACTACAATGATGTTTACACAGTGTGATAGTGTAAAACTTATAAAATTATAAGTTAAAGCTGTTAGTGTTACGATTTTTGAGTCGCTTACTTAGTTACACTCGTTAAATAAAATAGTAGCCATTTATAGGAATTAGATAACGTTTTTTCTCAAAGAAAAAATCGTTGATATAAGTTCGAACAAGTATTTTATTTTTAAGTTTACATATTACTGTTACTTAGAAGTTAGTATTAACCTTTAAACTTACAACTTGTACTGTGTAGTGCAGATACTCTGGAAATGTAAGATCACTATTAATGTTACTGTGCCACTCGGTGTCACTGACTCAGTGTTGCTATGGATTTAGTTTAAAAACGCAGATGACAAGGTAAGGTTTAATATGTATATAGTATGTCCACTACCCATGTCTGTGACCTCTTGATTTGACTTGTTGGTATAATACCGTTAGTAATGGTATACCAAGTAACCAACATAGTATGAACATTCAAATTCAGCCATTAATAGTATGGACATATGCTAAGAAACTCAGTACAGCTGCCAGTGCCATTATCTTTAATTTTGATCATGTACACAGATGGTCACTTCTCACAAGAATCAGAGTTGAATTAAAGTCTGCACATTCCTGATCAGTATCAAAGTAGGATTAGGCCAGACCAAAAAATATATTGTTCTTCGGATTCTGCTACCTTTAAACTGTAGTGTAAATAATTAAAAAAAAACTTTTTTGCAGACTGGACTGGTTCAGGATTAATTGATATGCAGTGGGGTAGCAAGAGGGGGGGAGTTGCCCCCGGGTGCAGGTGTGAAGGGGCACAAAATTTCCTCTGGCCTATAATGCCTATTAATTATTAATTATGCCCTCCCCTAGGATATAGCACAACTGTAAATATGACACAGTGTTACATTATTTGTATTATGCTTGCAGTTTTAACTTTTAAAAGCTGCCTACTGAAATACAGTGAGACCGAATTGACGTACAGAAGTAAATTACACTGTTCCATTATTCATCTGTAGATCAAATACAAGTCCTAGAGTACAACATACAAGTAAGTGTATGTTCAACAAAAAGAAAATACGAGATTGATGTAACATATTAACTGGTGTACAAGATTGGCAATATATGCAACAGGCAAGATCTAGATCTAGTAAACATTATAGGCCTAATGTTGTGGTTTGTAATTGTATTGGCTGATTGTAAATCATGTCTTACACCAACTAATGTACTAGACTTTAGGTCTAATTACAGTTATAACTTTATTTCTAGACCCCAGGTCCA